ATATTATTTGTGATCAGATTTACTTGAAACTTTGTTTTAATGGTCTCTCATTTAATTTCTGAAAGATCTATCTCGACAATTTAAAAAAGGGAAAGGTGTTGCAATTTTTGTTTGGGACATACTTTATTTATGGTTGAATTTACTTGAAACTTGGTATATATGCTGTTTGATATTATTAATCAAATGAAAAGAGGTTGCAACGTTTCCATGGGCTACATTTTATTTGTACTCGGATTTACTCGAAGGATGCTCATTGCTGAAATTAAGCAAATACGTGTTTTGGCAATTTTTAAAAATCAACCCTTAAGGATGAAATGTTGTTGCTACGTTTGTATTTGAAAGATGGCGACATTACACAAAATTAAAACGTTGTAAAGGTGAATTGGGAGCTAAAAGGTTTTATGGAGAAAGAATATTAATTTCTGGGAGCGAAGCCGCGGGGAAAAGCTAGTTATTAAATAAAACAATAACTACCGACAAAAACTGATTGTCTACTAATACGAAAGTGCATTGTTCTGGTTAAAAGTGACCCAACATCGAAACTTTAGGTTGATGGAATTGATAATGTTGACAAACTGTATTGAATTCCGGGATTTTTCAGCATTTCCTAATAACTGTTAAAAATCAGAAACCAGATTCCATTGACGTTTGTACCTGAAGGCTTCGACATTATGCAGAAGAAGATTCTATTGTTGCAAGCTTGATACTATAAATTCTGCCTTCTCCTATAACAAGTCAAAATTACGAATAAGATCACTCGATTTCGACTGGCTTAGTCGATGAGGTCACTGTCTTCATTTTTCACTTCAAATTCATGTTATTGAGGTGATGTAGGAATTGATAAACTGTCTAAATGTGGAATAGGCCGAATAGCAGATTGAAGATTCGGGTATTTAATAAAGTCATTTGTGAATTGCAGTCAATTTTCTCTACACGAAAGTAAATTTCAACTAAAAAACAATAGAGCGAGAGGTTAGCTGTTGTTTTTGAAGAATAAAATACTTTTAACCTCTGGGCTGCTTTGATTCATCCATTTCAAGTGTATCTATTGCTACCAATTCCGCATCAGACATAATTTTGGAAAAACTGAAATTTAGTAAGACTGGTTGGACCTCCACTATTTTCTATCGTGACCTAATCTTCGCATTTCCCCAAAACTAGAACAACTCACTTCCTTCACTATTTGTGAACAGTAATCTAATCTAGATCTACCTCTACTCCTCTCAACTCCTGTTTCTACCTTTAATATGCCTCTGACTAGCCCTTCATGCCTGAGAATGTATCCTATAAACCTATCTCGCCTATTTTTTATTGACTTCCATAGAGTCCTCTGTTCTCCTATTCTTTCCAATACCTCTTCATTTCTAACCTTTTCTACCCACGTTATCCTCATAACACCCTATAACACCACATTTCGAACGCTTCTAACCTTTTCTTTTCTGCCGCGCCCACCGTCTATGTTTCACACCCGTACAACGCCGTGCTCCAAACATACACCTTTAACAAGCTTTTTCGAATTTCTAAATTAACCGTTCGCAAGCATAGAAATGACTTCTTTTTATTCCTGACTTATCTGACTTTCTAGATACGTAAAAGCTACTTCTTCTGATTTTTCCTGAAAGGCAGTAAAATACAAATGTGTGTAGGTTGCTTCGTCAGAGTGCAACGTAGTTTAAAGAAAACGTAATGATGAGGGTTTGAACCTCGTGGCTACGCCACTAATGGTATGTAATCCGCCTACAGCGAGTCAAAAACGCTAAAACTGCCTTCTATCTTTGCATTTCCTGACAACACGATGAATTGTAAGTTACGATTTTAATTGTGAATTAGCATACCTACTAACATGTTAGACGAAAATTTTTCATCTATAAAAAATGACAAGTACCTAGATACACGTACGTTTCTAAACGATTATTTCCTTTTTTCCTTTTAGGTAACAAGAAAGATTAAATATTCCACTGTTAAGTTCTTTACAAAACTTAGAAACATTCTGAATTCTTCCATCCAAAGCTTAGCAATCAAATACAGTAAATAAATACAATTCAAAAATGTTAGCAGATTTTGCGAATCTTTATCTGCATAGTTACTTAGTTTTCAATTATTATCATTTTAAATTACTTACCTAATAAGTATCTGTTCAATAATTTATTAAACAAAGAAACTAAAAAGGATAAGATTGTATCTCAAAGACATTTTTAGAGTATTATATGTATTATCCTTATCAAACTATAACATCTTACCGGATATGGATATGCAACAAAGATGACACTTTCCGTTTTCGATAACGTGGAGATACTTCGTTCGGTCTAGTTCAGGAAGAGGTCTCGGTCTGACACAACGTAAAGCGGGCTCTGCAGGATCTACAAGCGTAGTCCCTAAATGGGCTGCCAGATGAAACAAGAGTACTACAGACAGCGGTGCTAAAGCTGCTAACTGGAATGCTTCCGGCAATGCGGGAATTAAAATTAGGAATGATCCTGAAATCATCAACAAGAACAACAGTTATAAAAGTCAGATTAATGAAAATACCGATTGAAGATTTTTGTATTTTGTCAAATTTTGTAAATTCTCTAAAAAGAACATTTATTTAAAATGCACATTACATAATACTACTTTATTTAGTTTATTTATTTATTCATGTATTCTTTCCCGAAAAGTAACATCGTCTTAAATAAACAATCTGAACACTTGTACTTATAAAAACAAATAACAACCAATCAACCAACCCATTAAAAAAATACAAAGATAAAACAATGAATTTATGTTCAGCAGTCTATAAATTAACTTATAAATCGTGCTTAAGAATACGTCAAACAGACACGAAATTCAAAACACGCCTAAAAGAACAGAAAATATTTACTCAAAGAAATCTTAAAAAACTTATGAAGAGAATTATATGCAGCATAAGAAAAGATTTGTCCGCTGCTATTGTATGTTCTTGCGTTAATAGTCGTGATTTTGGAGAAAAAGCGCTGCAAAAATTTAATGGGCCGTTAATAAATAAATAAAACGATAAGTTTATATACTTAAAAATGTAGGGATGAGTTACAAAGATAGAAGAGTGATACTTAGTTTGTATAAAGAGCAACAGGCAGTTATAGAGCTGGGGCTGCAACGTAGAGAAGTAAATATTAGGAAGGGAGTCAGGCAGGGATGCACACTGTCACCGCTACTTTTTAATCTATACATCGAAGACGCCATCAACATCATTAAAGACAGTACAACTGTAGGGATAGACGTGCAAGGGCAAAAGATTAGTATGCTTAGATTTGCAGATGATATAGCAGTATTAGCATCTAGCAAGGAGGACCTAGAGATAGCTTTAAATAAAATGGAAGCGGTACTGACAGATCAGTACTGTATGAAAATAAATAAAAGTAAAACTAAAATACTGATATGCAAGGGAAGAAAAAGTAGGGAAAGAGCGAATATAAAGATAGGAGACGAAAAATTAGAAGAAGTGGCTGATTTTAGATACCTAGGAAGTCAGATAAGTGAGGATGGAAGGAGTAGTAGGGATATAAAGCAGAGGATAGCGCAGGGTCGTGTCGCCTTTAATAAAAAGAAGTCACTTCTATGCTCGCGAACGGTTAATTTAGAAATTCGAAAAAGGTTGTTAAAGGTGTATGTTTGGAGCACGGCGTTGTACGGGTGCGAAACATGGACAGTGGGAGCGGCGGAAAAGAAAAGGTTAGAAGCGTTCGAAATGTGGTGTTATAGGCGGATGATGAGGATATCGTGGGTAGAAAAGGTTAGAAATGAAGAGGTATTGGAAAGAATAGGAGAACAGAGGACTCTATGGAAGTCAATAAAAAATAGGCGAGATAGGTTGGTAGGACACCTTCTCAGGCATGAAGGTCTAGTCAGAGACATATTAGAGGCAGAAACAGGAGTTAGGAGGGGTAGAGGTAGACCTAGATTAGATTACTGTTCGCAAATAGTTAAGGATGTGGGCTGTTCTAGTTTTAGGGAAATGCGAAGTTTAGCTTAGGATAGGAAAGAGTGGAGGTACGTGTCCAACCAGTCTTAGAACTGACGACCTTATGATGATGAAGTTTATACATTCGAAGCGCGTCCACTAAGATAGTTTGGAATATCGAAAAGCTATAAACAGATTTTATATTTCAAAACTGAATTATTGTATACTTTTTTGAAAGAATGTAATCAATTTTTATGTCACTAATATGTGACCCAACCGTCAAACGGTCCTCCGCTGCTCTTGCAAACTGTGGAAATGTCCGTGCTTATTAGAACCAACTACATGGATTAATTTCACCTGTTTGTGGCAATGAAAGGCCTTAAGCAAAAGTAGCTTGAACCGCCTCAATCTGATGTTGGTTCGTGTTTCGTTGTCCAATGAAAGGCGGCCCTATAATGAAATTCAACACAAAAGAATTCAGTGGTCATCGCGTGGCCTCAACTTCTTCTCTTCTGGGGCTGATCTTTGCATTTCTATATTAAAATCTGGGTCAACATACATGTCTAACTATGACCTATGTGTATTACTATTGAGTAATTTAATAAAGGACTATCTCAGCCCTCTTTCTTACACTTTCTTACTAACATATCTTCACAGCGCCCTCTATTCACCTACTCTTTCTAATACCTCTTCATTTCTAAACTTTTCTTTTCATGGTACTTTTAACATGCTCTCATAACACCAAGTTTCAAACAGAGAAACAGCGAATATAAAGATAGAAGACGAAATATTACAAGAAGTGGCTGATTTTAGATATCTATAGTAGGAAGTCAGATAAGTCAAGACGGAAGGAGTAGTATGGATATAAAGCAGAGGATAGCGCAGGGGCATGTAGCCTTCAATAAAAAGAAGTCACTTCTATGCTCGCGAACGATTAATTTAGAAATTGGAAAAAGATTGTTAAAGGTGCATGTTTGGAGTGCAAAACGTAGACGTGGAGGCGGCGGAAATGAAAAGATTAAAAGCGTTCGTAATGTAGTGTTACGGGCGAATAATGAGGATACCGTAGATAGAGAAGGTTAAAAATGAAGAGGTATTATAAAGAAATGGACAACAGAGGACTCTATGGAAGTCAATAAGAAATAGGCGAGATAGGTTGGTAGGACACCATCTCAGGCATGAAGATCTAGTCAGAGACATGTTAGAGCCAGAAACAGGAGTTAATAAGAATAAAGGTAGACCTAGATTAAATTACTGTTTGCAAATAGTTAAGGATGTGAGACGTTCTAATTTTAAGGAAATGCGAAGATTAGCTCAGGATAGAAAGGAGTGGAGGTGCGTGTCCAACAAGTCTTAGAACTGACGGTCTCATTATGAGAGAAACGTTGCTTTTCAGTGCATATTTATCCAAAGATTAACAGTTTTCATTCTAATTAGTTTCAATTTCCATTTGATAGCAAGTAACTGTAATAGATATTTTCATCCAGCGGTTGCCTATATTATGACTGTATGCTCGCAAACGGTTAATTTAGAAATTCGAAAAATTTTATTAAGAGTGTACGTTTGAAGCGTGACATTGTACGGGTGCGAAACATGAGCAGTGGGCGCAGCGGAAAAGAAAAGGTTAGTGGCGTTCGAAATGTGGAGTTAGGGGCGAATGATCAGGATATCGTGGATAGAGAAGGTTATAAATGAAGAGGTATTAGAAAGAATAGATGAACAGAGGACTTTATGGAAGTCAGTAAGAAATAGGCGAGATAGGTTAGTAGGACACCTTCTCAGACATGAAGGTCTAGTCAGAGAGACAGAAACGGGAGTAAGGAGGAGTAGAGGTAGACCTAGATTTATGACTGTTTACAAATAGTTAAGGATGTGGTTTGTTCTAGCTTTAGGGAAATGCGAAGCTTAGCTCAGGATAGGAAAGAGTGGAGGTGTGTGTCCAACCAGTCTTAGGACTGACGACCTTATGATGACGATGATACCATACTCTTCTCTCAATACCGGTATCATTTTATTTAAAGCTTTATGTAACTCCTCTTTGCTAGATACTGCTACATCTGCTACGGTTTTATCATATACGAGGGTGGATTGATAAGTTTCCGGCCTGACCAAGAAAAACAAGGTTTTTAAAAATTTTTTTTTTTTATTTCTCAACATAATCTCCTCCAAGGCTGATACATTTCTCATAGCGGTGTTCCAGTCTATTAATGCCATCTCTATAGACTGATTCGTCAAGCTCCTCAAAATA